CTGGAAGTTCCCCACAAAGATCTCCCTTAGGTCCGCCCAACCTTGGATGGCGTCGGACGGAAGGTGCTCCAACCACGCTCGTGCCGAATTGGCGAGGAACAGTGGAAGGTTGCGGATAATGAAGTCGTCATTATCCGCACCACCGGCTTGGCAGGCAAGCCGATAGTCTTCAAGCCAAAGCCCAGGGTTTGTCTCCCCGGAGTACTTAGGGATGTTGGTAGGTGGTCGATACCTTGGCGGGAACGCAGCGTTGAGGATGTGTCGGCTGAAGGCCTGAGGGCCTGGCAGGCCGAGGCTCGGGCTCCGGTCCTCACCGCTGTCATAGCGTCCGTCGCGTCGAGGATGATAGCCGCGGCGGGCTCCTTCCCTTGGGTCGTTGTAGGTGCGCCTACGGGCGTTGATGGTGCTGCGTGCGTCGCAGTCGCGGTCGAGACGCTGATGTATCTGGGTCGCAATGCACTGCCCGCTGCCTTGTGGTGCTTGGTGGACTGAGGCATCCCTGGCAGGACGTACTGAGGGCGTACACTGGCTGGTGTCGAGCTCGCGTCGTCAAGACAACGAGCTTTCCGCCTGCTACGTCGCCGCACGCTCGAGCAGCGTGCGGATTTTGTGGTGGACCCAGCGATCCTCGGGCGTTGTGGTCTCTTGAAGGCCATGGAGCAAGGCCGTGGCGGCGACGATGTTCTGGCTCGCCCGAGCGAAGCGAGGAAGGGTTTCATCGTCGGCGATGATCCTTCGGTTCACGTCGCGGGCTACGGCGCGTGCGTGCCCACCGTCTCCGCGGCGTTCGATCTCTCGATCCACCAACGTGTATTCGTGAACAAGCTGTTGTCCGGCCTCGTTGATCTCCCATTTTCGGGCTTCTAGCTGCTCCACCCCTACGTGGGGCGGGGCCACCGTTCTTCCTTCGGCTCCGTCGCCGAGGTTGCCCATCTGGGTGACCTCCTTCTTGGAGGCGCTTTCGACGTGTCCCTCGGAGGTTTCCACCATGAAGCATTCCCGGGAGGGATGATGGCTCCCCCTGCCGGAGTTAGAGCCAGAGTCTGACCCCGGGCCTTCCGCGAGGAGGCCGTGGAGGGATTCTGTGATGCTTTTGATCATCCCTACGAACTCGTTGTTCGCGGGGGACGAGATCACATGCTGGGCCACAAGGTGGCTTACGGTTGCAGCGGCGTTGCGGAGATCGAACAGAAACGCCGTCGAGGCGCTCCGTGTGGAGCGTTTCAGAGAGAGGGTGAGGCGGCACGGGGCCTCCCTAGACGGCTGGGGTCCAAGGGAGACACCGGGCTGGCCCTCAAGCCTCCGGTGGAGGGGAGAGGTTGGATGGTGAGATGGTCCAACGCCAACTCTCCTTCCACCGTGACGATGAAGTCCAGGTCACCGAAACGCACGTGTGCGCCTGGAACCCAGTTGATTATGTGGTTAGCCATCCGAGGCCTGATTTGGAATGCACAAAGGCCCCTACTTGGCGCGCCAACTGTCGGTGTTTCGAACAAACACCGGCTAGTAAATTTATAATTGATGCGCATTAGGCCCGGATGGTGCACTAAAGGACACGAGGTTTATACTGGTTTGGGCCGAACGTCCATACGTCCAGTCTACTGCTGCTCGTGTTATTAGTACCGAAAAAGGTTCATAGTAGGGGGTACAAACGGTCGAGAGAGGAACGGGCCCCAAGTCTTTGATGGAATGGTCGAAAAGGTCGCCGAGAGCTTGGTCGCTGCTCAGCAGTGTGTGAAGTGTCGTGTGTGTTGAACTTATCTCTCAAGAGTCGATCCCCTTAGTGGGGGGCCCTGCCCTCCCTTTTATAGACCAAGGGGGGAGCAGGGGTTACAGATGGGAGAAAAGGGAAAAACCAGAGGCCAAGAAGCCCCCCGAAGGTGTTGGGTCCTCCTTTCCCACTGAGCCAGCCTCGCTGACATGGCCAGACGGTGTTAGGGATTGGCACGTTCGTCGGATGCCTGTGCGCTGATGACGCCATGCCCTTACCGGATCTGCAAGTGGTCACGTCCTGTCCCGCCCCTCCGGGCGGCGTGTCGGACAAGGGTGTTGACCTATAGCCCTATGGGGAGCGGACGGCGCGGTGACTGTATGTTCGTCACTGTAGAGGGCGCGAGTCTCTTCTTGGACCGTAGTGGTTTGTCGTATGTCTATGTTAGGTTCCGTGTCTGAGGGTTGAAGGCGGCGCCTACAGCACTATTCGGACTCTGCCATGCCCGAAATGGTCTAAAGCGCCCATCCCATCGTACCCTCGCGGTACTTTCCTGCCGCGGTGCAGGGCATGGTCCTTGGTGCTGCGTTTGACTCGAATGTCATGTCGTACCCTGTGCTCATGATTATGAAGGCGCAGGGTGTACTTGTCGAGCGAGGCAGAGTCTGCCCTCGGCCGTAGGGCGAGACAGAGCCCGCCCTCGGACGTCGGGCGAGGCGGAGCCAGCCCTCGGGGGTCGGGCGAGGCGGAGCTAGCCCTTAGCCATTGGGCGAGGCGAAGCCTAGCCCTCGGGGGTCGGGCAAGGCGGAACCAGTCTTCCGTCATTCAGACAAAAAATGCAGTAGCGTTCCCGTCTGATCGGAAGTGTCAACGTTCGATGATCATTGGTTTCACCTCATTAGGTACCCCGGTATTAGGTCCCCAACAAGTTGGGAAATAACTCACGCTCACTTTACTGCCGGAAGACCAAACAGTCGTGGAGGGCCGGCGGCCATAACACGTATCCCAGTTGGCTCGGCTTTTCATACGCCCGAGAAAATACCACTGCCGCATCTATTGTTAACCCGTCGGTGGTAGAAGTTTCAACTACCGGTTTCCTTCCTCAGGAGGCCTCGCTATCGGTCCAACCGGCGATGGAAGTATAATGCAGTCGCTTCTATTGCTACGACATGAAAGTGACGATAATGATAAGTCAATCTGTAGTAGTGCACCCGGCTATGTACTTTTGAAACATTCAGATGCAACAGTTGCAACATACAAAAGAAGACAGATGAAACACTTGAAACATGCGTCTGAAACACTTGCAAAAACACTTGAAAATCATTGCAAACATATGCAACATCCAGATGAAACACTTGCAACAGACGTATGAAACATTTGAAACACTTGAAACATGAATGTATACGCAACATCTAGATCTACTTTTGCAACATCCAGATGAAAACACTTGCAACATATGTCTGATACACATGAAACATTTGGAACATATACTTGCAACATAGGTGCATATCCATTGCAACATGTGAAACATCCCGATCTACTTTTACAACATCATGATCTACTTTTGCAACACCGATACGAACCATTTGCAACATACCTCTAAAACACTTGAAACATATAGTTGCAACATGTGGTTTTCAGCGAAACATCTCCTTGCTGCTTTGGCGAATGGAGGCTTGTCGGTGCGTGGAGGTCACCGGTGTGCTCGCCGGCAACGCGGAGCTAGGCGGCGGCATATAGAGGGTGCGGTGGGGGCGACACGGGCAGTGGTGGCACAGAGGATGGGTGGGCGATGTGTAAAGGTCACCGGTGTGCTCGCTGGCAGCGCGGAGTTCGGTGGCGTAGAGGGCGGGGTGGGGACGACGCGTTTAAGCCACGACGGACGAGGCAGAGTGGGGAGTCACGAGGTGCAGACTCGTCCATACATACGGACACCTTCCATGGGGGGAAACGGAGGTTGGTGGGGATCACCTGGGAGCAAAGCACAATGACGAGGAAGGCATGTGGGTGGATGCAACGACGTAGGAAGCGAGCAGGGAAAGAAGGAAGGTAGGTGCGGATGGCAACGCAAGGATGCAACAGCGCAGCGAGCGAGTCTTGCAGTGGAGAAGGAGCGAGTCGTGTGGGCCTGTACGAAGAAGCCCGAAAGCGATGCGCCAACTTGTTTCAATCCACGGCATTAACAGTAGATGCGGCATCCGACAGAAAGAGAACCATCCGAACGCCCTAAGCAAGCATTTCCGTAAAGAGAAACCCAAATAATCATTTTGAGAGTTTATAGAGCCAGATATACAGCAAAAGTTTAGAGACTCGTGGTACATTTCACTCTATAAACAATATTATGATGGTACATGGCATACCTTTGTGACAGTGTGCTTTCATTTACCAACAAATTGGTAAATTAGTAATACAACAGTATTATATAGAGTTCAAAGCCCATGCCCCGCCCACGCCTGCCCCCAAAACTGGAATCTTTTTTTTTATCTACAGAAACATATCCAGGCGCTTAAGGAACAGAGTAAACAAGTCAATAGAAATCTCAGTCATGATCCTATGCAAAGATCCTATAGATCAAAACCCAGAGGGCCTCTTTTTCTACTGTCATATGGAACTTAACCTTGACCTAAAGCATGTGCGATAGCGTCTGATTGCCAGCATCCAGAATGATCTCATCATGCTGAGTTGTTATGCTGTGTAAATAATTCATGTCAGCCATGCTCAGGAACTCATTTGAAATTTGTTTGCCAAAAAAAAAATTAAATTGCTATAGCACTGCACACTTACTTGAGATAGCTCAAAGCTGACATTCTGTACAGCAATGTAAATACAAGGAGATGCAATCCGATGCTGTAGAAGAATATAAACGTCCGTGCGTATCTGAGTGGCAATAAATAAATGGCAATGTTAATCCCTCGTTCCGTTCCACTCCATGACAAAAATAAATAAATTATGGCGCCATGCGAATAAATATATATGATCATGTATCATGAAAAATTATATATATGTTTCAACTTCAAACAAGTTTCTCATGCCATGAAGTAAAAATAATAATAATAAGTAACAGTCTAGACATTGCATATTGACCATGTATGAAATTTAAGCACGCCTGTGATGAGCAAAGCATGATTTCAAAAAGGTAGAGCCATATTAATCAATTCCAATTTCTAGTATAAAAAACAAATGAACAAATGAAGACATCTCTAACTTGATTTTTCTACAATAATCTACCAGTTATTATCAAACATCAGCATTCAGAATAAAATAAATAAAAAAGGGGGAAATGAGTTACTCAAAGGAAGATAGTATCATACTTGTTACCAAGGAGAAAACGGCCACTACTAAGCGTGATTTTGTCTCTTAAACCAAGTTCCTTATATCGTTGATCCTTTTCCTGGGTACAGAAAGGAAAGTATAAATAAACTATATGCAATACCATACAGAACAAGAGTTATAATGATGCATTATCTATCAATAAAGTGAGTGATACCTTCTTTGAAAAAGCAGCAAACGGATTTATGTCATCCTCATACATTTTCTTGTACTTTGCTTCAACATCAGAAGAACCACTTTCAAGATCTTCTGCATACTGCAATAACACAACGAAGGTCAAATGCAATAAAATGCAAAGGCGGCAAATTTACATCAAAAAGATTTGTGATAAACCTTTTTTGGTCCCCTGGAAACAATCTTGTCATGGCTATAGTCCTGGACATATCGAATCTTTCCATACAGTTGCACATTATCAGCTTTAGTTTTTTCCAGTTCAACAGTCAGCATCTCATACTTCTCTTTTAGTCTCCTCAGTTCCTATGATCCTCAAAAATGGCAATTGATCAGTGACACACCTTCATGTTTCACGTAGACAAGAGACATCACGTGATAAAAGAAAATCTAAAGAGAAGCGTGACAAAGCCAGAGCTAATGCATATGATCAAGGCAAATCCCCATGCCACCTCAATATTCACTCCTATGAATATTACTCCGAAGATTTAATCCCGAACCCAATCACCAATAGTGTAAAACATACAGTGGCTCTCAGTTTTCCTCAATAATAAGAAAAGCCATAGTGTAGATTGGTCTTAGGACTAGACAACCAATTTCACTTGAAACAATAAGATGACGCTGCCAGTTTCTACAAATTCATCAAATATACCTCCTCAGTTTCACGCAGACGTGCACGGAAACGGTCCCTCTGATTGCAAATGACCTTGAGCATCGAACTTTGATCTTGATCTGCTGATGCATGCCTTGGATCAGAGCCCTGCAAATAAAAGGCACACATAAATCTGAGAAAAGTGACCATCCCATTATACACACAGAGGGTAGATACGGTCAGATTATAATAATCTATCTTAAATTTAGTACTTCAATGTATCCTCTTAAGAAACTGAAATCATAATGGTAGATAGATGAAAATTCGAAGCAAGTACATACATTTATAGCCAACTATAGTGCCAAAAGTACATGTACAAAAAGCACAATATAAGCAAAATTCTTGGCATATTCACATGTTCACATTAATTAATGTCTAGAAAGGTGAATTCTGGACACAGACATCTCATATATTACCAAATATTTTACTAGCATGTTTGCAAAATCAGAACATTGGGGCTTTTATGTATGCTGGAAATGGATCATTTTACTGACAAGCTGTTAGTAAAGAACCAAAGGTAAGTACAACCATTAATACAGAAAATGATTGTAAAACAAGTATTCTAGAACAAACTTCACAGTCACAGCATATCTTAAAATAAGCAAAAGTTATTGCAAAACTACAGCAAGATAGGGTGTGATTAGCGAAACTAAACTAGAAATTACCTCGGATGCTTCACTTGAGCCGATTTCTTGAAGATCCCAGTCATTCAAGAGTGAGCCCCTCCTATCAGTTGAACTGTAGCCCTGCATAGATGAAGAGTATCAGTTCTATGCCCCTCTGAAAAGTAGAGCAATAATATACAAGCCTTTTGATTTCTAACATAGGAATTCCGAAACACAGAATTATGTAGTTATAACAACACAGTGATAGTATTCAGATTGCAGCGCTGAAGTCTCATGCATGCTAAATGCACAAGACATATACCCACTACAGATTTTATGAATAATAACTGTAGGAAGCTACGATTAACTGGTATCAGGTGAATTATCAAAGGAGCATGCAAACCAACCTTTAGTATGTCATCCTCAAGTTTCAAGATCAGCTTTTGCTGCTCTTCGACCTTTGAAGTTAGTCCAGCAATCCTTTTTTCAGCTTCCTCAAGATGACTTGTCTTCTCTGATATTTTAACCTTTAAAATACAAGCAAATCAGCCAGTTCAACAGGTAATCATAACAAATACATTGTAACCTTGCATACATGTGAAAAACTAATGCCCTTAGAGAGAATTGACTAAAGCGCAGCTTCCAGCATCCAAACTAGAGGTACCTTCAGTTGCGTTAGCTCATGCTCCATTTTACGGTTCTTGTCGAGAAGCAATGCTTCCAACTTGCTCATTTCTTCACCATTGGTAGCTAGCTCCCAGTCTTCAGCTTCAATGGAGTTGTAACCAACAGCCTGTTGGAAGAAATACTGGTGTCAGGAGGATGGAGGACCAAAGAATCAAAAGAAAGATGAAATCACATCACATGTAATAATGGCAAAAGGTACAACCCTAACCATATGGCAAATAAATCATTTTTAGGATCACCACCGACAGGGCTTCACAATGGACCCTAAATATATCATTTTAGGGTCATCTACTCATAGAATGTAACACAGGAAGCTGACCTAATGTATTATTTAGATTCGACTGAAAGAATGCATGTGCATTGAGAACAACCTTTTATAGGATATAGTTGCAGACTTGCAGTTAAGAATTTAGAGATTAGTTGAGTTAGTGTTTAACACCATGGTGGATTGGTGGTCTCCAAAAAAGTGAGTATTGTTCCAGTTGCAGTAAGCAAGGATATTTTTGTTGTAATACCTGCAAAATCTGAACCTTTTTCTTGAGATCATCTACTAGTTTTTGCGTAGGTCTTTCCTGGAGTTCTTTCTTCAACTCCATAAGAGCACTTTCCTACAAATAGGAAATCAATTAATAAAATTACAAATAGAAGGTGAGGTAGTTGCATAGAGATAAACAGTTTCAGGAAATAGCATGACAACCCAGTTCACATATTTAAAAAAATACTAATACAACAACAACAACAAAGCCTTTAAGTCCCAAACAAGTTGGGGTAGGCTAATAGAAGCAATAAAATACTAATAGAAGCAATAAAATATGAGTCATATTTTTCCTCACTAGGATAATTCTGTCCTTGTTTCTAAGACAAGATGCAAACCTGAAGGGTTTACTCATGTTTATCCAAATCACCCATAGAACATGAGGTGAATGAAGAATACCCAGTGAACAGTGATGGAAGAAAAAATAATAGCATGTCATGAACTGCTTTTGGACAATGGATTACACAGGGTGAGTAACTAAACAGGTTATTATCATTGTATGAACGTCTATAAAGGCTTTGTGATCTTCACAGATAAAGGAAAGATCAAACAGGGAAGTTTCAAATGTTGCTAGAGCTATTAGCATCTCGATGGATAGGCTGTGGTGGTGTTCAATGTGTAAAAGGCGTGAATATAATCTAAAGAACTAACTAGATGTAACAAACTCTCTTCTAACTGTAATGACATGCAGTTCTCCTGCTGTCCTGCATGTTCAAGGGAAAAAACAGGGAAGTTTTCTAAATACGGTTATCAGAGTAGCCCCCCTTCCAGAACACTACGTGAAGATACATGCAAATTAAACAGATTATCTTTAGATTGATATTTGCTAATCAGTAACAAGAATACTGAGCTGATCCAAAAAGACCACTTAACAAATTAGTACCTGTTCAGTGAGTAAAGTCGTCAACTTCTTAAGCTCGTTCACATGCATTTCTCTCTCACTTGATAAAGTACTTTCAATGTTGCGAAGTTCTGCATTCAACTCTGAGATAATCTTCTCCTTGGCGTTCAAGGAACTCTCAAGTATATCACTTGATTCCAAATAGTCACTGCAGAATTATGTAGTTCACAAGTTCAATTTATTTTTTAATAGCCATTGAAGTCCACTGCTAAAAAGTGCAGCACTAGTGCACTACTGCAATTCTGTATATCGTACACAGGATGAATTGTGGGGGGAAACAAACTGACCTACTTTTGCTTGCATCCTCGTTAGTTGTCTGCAACTGTGAACGTAGATCGCCCTGCAGTCAAGTAAAAAAGAAGTGAAAAGAAGGTATCTTGGGCCATGCACTGAGCAAGCAATAGTTTTACACATTTGAAGTTATCCACAATTTGATGCTGGCATTTAAGAATCAAAGTTCGCATAATAAATAGGAAAAGGTGAAAAGTTAACACAGGTACCACTACATAGCATTATTTCTCAGAAAAAAAATATATATATATATATATATGGTTAGTGCTTGACACTAGACTTTTGATATAATGTAACACTATTTAGTCCCTGAATGGTTGAATCCAAGTTTCGTTAATTTGGCCCTGACTCTTAAGGATGCAAATCATCAGGAAAGATTTGGTACAGTTTAGTCCAAGTTCAAATCATATTCCAAAAATGTCTTCGCCTCATACCAAAAAAATGGCTGATACCAGTCCGTATGTTAAACCATTCAAACATGACTGATGGTAACAATTATTGTAACATGTTGGACAAGTTATGCAGTCAGAACTCAAAAGCATTAAACTGGAATTGCAAATCGCAAGGCTACCTTTTCCCTCTCAAGACTGACTAATCGTGCTTGAGCCCTTTCAACTTCATCCATCAGAAGGCTGACTTCAGACTCCTTTGCAGCTCGATCCTCCTCTGGGAAAAAAATGAGATTTTTCAACTCACTATAAACTTTCAAATATAAGTCACAAAGATGACCATGATCACACTGCTTGGAAATAGACCTGATTGAGTGCGAAGCTCAAACAATTGGCTTTGCGCTGATCCATGTAGCTTTTGCATATTCTTTACACTTTCTGTAGCTTGCCTTAGTTGGTCCTGCAATGACCATTCCCTACAAGTATGACAAGGCAAAGGTCAAAATATACAGTATGAGTCATGGTACATGAATTAGCCTTTGATGTCAGGCAAGAATTCTATATGGCAGTTCAGGTGATAACAGAGTGATTTGTTTTCATAGTAGCCTCTTCTACTACCTTCAAAATACATGTCATTCTACAATTTCTAGGCAAATTTAGCCATTTTTCCAAATCTTACCCCCTACTTAATTTCATAATTTAACTAATTTATTCCCATGCATGTCTCGTTTCCGGTGCTGTTGCACATAAGCAGTCATGCACGGACCAGACACACCTGGGTAAGGATAAAATGAGAGTAAAATGGTCGTATCATTGAAGATTGAACTTATTAGTTCTTGTGGCCAACTCTAAAACAATACCTATTTTGAACCAAAGGGAGTATTACAGCTGATTTTGCATACCTATCTTTCAGAGCTTCTAGAGTTTTCTGGCTATCCTCAGCCATGCTTCGCTGCTTCATTTCAACCATCTCCCTTACTTTCTCCTCCATCTAAAATGATAGAAACTTTAATTAAGTGAAAAGGTACAAAGCACGAGAAATCAAATTGGTTATTACAATTTATCTGGAACAGTGTAAACTATTTTTTATAAAAGTTTGAACCCCTGACTACATGCTTGCTACTGGTAGATAAAGGAATCTTCTACCCTCTATACACAATTTAGACAACACTCACATAGAAACATATTTCTACAAAATAAAATGTAGATAATAATGTGATGCTCAAAAAAATTACTAACACATTAAGATGGGGAGAAATCTAGTATTTTAATTAGAATTATTCTATGAATAAAGTAAATTCTTATGATTGACAAAGAAACAGGACAAGAAGAAACCCATATTTATAACACCAATGTCATATAGAAGTAAAAAAACAAAGACATGCATGATAAATTGATAGTAGAGCATATAACTGAATGGTGACAGAAGTACAGAACAGACCTGCTGTTCCAGTTGGCGATTACGCTCTTCAAGTCGCCTAATTGTTGCCTGCTGGTTCTTCAAGTGCGCAGCTTCAGCACGGTATTCTTCAAGCTCTAGTTTCATCTTACGGTTTTCAGTCTCCAGTTCAGATAATTTCTGGTCTTGATCCTGCATGCAATAGATCATTAACACTAGAATTGATTATCAAACCCACCTATCATATTCAGACAAGCCTCTTGTTAGAGAAACTGATTCAAGATCAAGCAAAAAAGTGAAGTTGAAAATTCATGATGTTATCAGATGAAACCACACCACGTCATCTTTTTTATAAACTACTATCATATTTTTTACATTTTGATAGCTTACCATGATACACTTATATTTCTCAATGTTAAATTTGCATCATTTATTGCAGAAAATTACCTTACATTTTTCCGAGGGTGGGAATACAACTGGGTGATTTGGTACAAAATAGGTGCTATGCAAGAATTTTGATCATATAAAGTAACTTATATGTTAGGTAAATTATAATAAGATGACATCTGTTGCTTCATGATGATGTGCAATCTTTCAGCCTTGAAAGAGTAAGGACTTCTCCAGACTTCTTACAGTACATTTGTGATTGGGAGTATAAGAGAATTGAATTAGAAGAATGCAAGTATAGAACAGAAGAAAAAATTGAAAGAACATACAGCCATTGAAGCAAGAGCTGGATATGGATCAGGAGCTTCATAGAGCTTCTGATAGATGTTGAGAAATGCATTTTCTCCGAACTTTGCTCTCTTTGTGAGGTTATCAACTTCCTCTTGATAACTCTTCAGCAAAGAATTGAATAAACTGAGCTTCTCATCTGAAGATGCCTTTTTGAAATCCAGCGTGTTCTCAGCAAGCTTACGCCTGTTCTTCTGACTAGTTTCTTGATTCTCCATAATCTTTAAACCTTGCTCATCCAAACCGCTTCTTTCCTTCTCCAAATCAAAATCTAGAGTGCACAAGAAGCCAGAGTTAGAATTTCCACCACTGATAGCATTGCAGTCTAAGTCACGTCACAGTCAGAGTTACCTCAGCGTGGCTAAATAAATTACAACATGGAAACTTCAATTAGCACTGAAAGTACCAGAAGCTCAGGATGCCTGTTCTTAATATCTAGCTCCTTACACTTTGATAGTTGCTATGCTGCAAACTCTAATGGTACAATTACATAAATCCCTAACAACCATATCACTAGGATAGTGAATGGTTTCCAGGAATATCATGCCAGGTACGAAGACTAGCATTTTTTGCACTCAAACTGCTTTTGCATACTTGTGATTGCTGAGTAATGTGGTCGAGCAAAGTTATACGTTCTCAGAGAAGATTCAGATTAAGACTCCAAGCAATTTGACAAAGTGGACGGAGCAAATGCCAGCAGATGGCTATGGAAATGGCAAATGCATGTCCGCGCTTCAGGGTAATGAGTACGATCTAAACATCGTAATAAGAGACAAGTTCGAAACATCCCATTCAACTGATCCCCGGAGCTCACCAACTCGAACCTACACCGCTTACTCGACGAGTTGAACCAAAAGGCCAAGCAAAGACGGAGGCGCACCTTTCCAGAAACTGCAGACGACGGCAAGCGGCGATGAGATCGTCGCTGCGGTCGACGACTGGGACGGCGGAGGCGGAGGCGGAGGCGGCGAGCGGTCGCGGTCCGACGCGCCCGCTTGCACCGGCGAGGGCTCCATGGGGGTACGCGCAGGGGTTCAGGACTTCGCTCTTCGGGGATCTGGACACCTGGATCTGGCAGGGCGGGCGGGATCCGGTGGTGGGACGGACGGCGACGACGCGCCGGGTGGAGCCGGTATATATGCGACCTTGCTTTTCAGAAATCAGAAGTGGGTTTCGTGTAGTCGTCGCAGGTCGCAGCGATGCCGCAGGATTTCGGACGCCCAAAGGTGTTACTCGTATTATTTGCTGTTTCCGTGGTAGATACAGTTGGAAGAAAATGCAAGCATTCCATTTAATTTAGCACCAAAATGTTACTGAGAGGAGAACACATCACAGTGTTTGGTTTTGCCTTTTTTAAAAAAAAAGTGGAGATGTTTTCCATTACTCAACGGTCTCAGCTAAATCGTTGGACACCAATTGTCCAACCCATAAGGAACGTCATCCCATGTGGTTATAATTCCACTAGGACCTTATTAAACATTCAAGAGCAAACGCTAATTTTACGAGCAACAAATTTGGATAACATCAAATGCTTAGGGCGTGCTTGGTTCGTTACCAACCCGTGCCACAATCTGGCACACCTACGAGGCTATGGCGCCACGGTTTTGTCAAATGTTTGGTTTGTTGTCAGAGTTAAGGTGCCACCGCATCTCGCCAACGCCATGCAAGATATTTTTTAGCCAAAGCTCACCAAAATTGTGGTGTGCAATTTGTACGCCGAACTTTTGGCGTGGTCGCAACTACGGCAACAACATCCGTAGGCCCCGTCAAAACATGCCCTTAATTTAGTCCCCCCCCCCGCCCAATCCCTGAAAGGCGAAACTCACCTCCTCCACAATTGCCTTCACAAGAGTAGTGTCTACCTCAACCTCATTCACCATAAAAACCAAAAAGCGGTGATGCATCGATGTCATTACTGTTGAGTCTGGAGTACGAAGGTTTTCATCTGCCCTAGAACTAAGAATGGACCACCACCAACTCCATAAAAACTAGGTGGACTGGATCAATATAATGGAGGGTATCAAAAGTTTGCCCTTTGGAAGCCAATGTGAGGGCACAAGTTGTGCTCCTCTACAGCCCTATAGCCTTTTGGAAATAAGTTTGACTTGAAGGCACCGTTCACTTGTTCCTACCTTGTATCAACCAACAACGGATACGATGGCAATACAACGTGATCTCTAATAGCCAACGATAAGTAGAGTTAAAGGTATTGCCATCTAGAGATGACAACAGGAAATACCCCTTTCGGTGATAGCTTTTCATCCCAATCCCCCTCTCCCTCCAAACCTCATGTGATAGCTTTAGTCTCGATTAATTTCCATCATTATCCTCGCGTGAAGAATTAAATCCTCATGATGATCCCATGCCTCGTCGATACATTTAGATATAAATGACCGAGTGTTATATTTGTAACGTGAGATATGTCTTTTTCCTATTTTGTTGTCGAAGGTTCAAAAAGTAAATGTTTGTAATGTAAAAATACACCCTTCCTGCCTACAACATATATTATACTTTGTTCAAGGTTGTTTGGCAGATCTAGGGTTTATCTGGATCCATGCGGCTAACGATTAGCTCCTAAAAATTAGTTTGTGGGTATTGTTTAGATCCTCGACTAATAAATCATCTAATATCTTACCTACCATCGAACTAAGAATTAGCTATTAGCTATTTTTTTCTAGCTAACATAACGTAGTTTGCTAGGTGGATCCAAACGAAGCCCTAATTGAAAAGTCGATCTCAACTTGATTGTAACTAATAGTTAGTTGGGTGAATCTAAACGGAGCTCTAATTAGAGAGTCGATCCCAACTTGAATGGGCTACCTTGCAGTGTCCAATTGGAGCGATGCGATGTAGACAGGAGACTAGAAGATGAACGGAGAACTTAGATATAATAATAATAATTCCTATGAAATTTGCTTGTCACTTGGTATCTCTAATATAAAGGGTTTATTCTACCCATATTTTAATATACGCTCTTTTATTTAAAAATAAATTTCAACTTATTTCAAAATCAAAGTACTTGTAAATGAATTTATGTGACCTCTGCTTTAGACTATCGTGCTGGTAGGGCGAAGAAATGACATTTTTGGATTTTGCTCACAGCGTCACCTCAGTGCCTCAGTTGCGATGATGGCTAATGGGCAACTCGCTGTGTCTGAATTGTTAGGCCGTGAAGCCCAATAGCACATCTAGAGGGCAAGTTTTTTTTATTCTTTTTTGCTTTATCTTCTGTGCTTCCAGAAAGAACGACCACCGCACTGCACGTCAGCGCCGCACAACTTTTTTTTTTTGGATCTTTGAGTTGAAACTTGATATTTAACTAAAATTTAGCTTATGCTGATTCGTCGTAGGAGAAAAACATTGTTCATTCGTTAAAAAGTATTGTTAAAATAGTGCTATATCTATACAGCCTGTTCGGGAGGCCGTATCGTATCGTGGATTATTTACTGCTGGCTGGTTTGGTGTGAGAGAAAAACACTGTTCCCAGCTAAAAATTTACGATCATTTACGAGCAAGCGAACAGGCTGTATAGCTTGTGGCACCACACCGTGTCGCTTCCTTGGTTGGACTAAAATTTCGGAGGGCCTTTTGCGTTATATTTTGGTCTTGAGAGCTTGCTGTTGCAGCTCCATGCTTCCGTGCGTCTCTAAACATGGGTGCTTCCAGATCAGGGTACTAACCTACTACGTACTACTCCCTCCAGTCCAAAAAAAAAAATGTAATTAATGCTTAACTAAACTGTGCTAGTTAAACTAGCTCAAATTTAATCAAATTCATAGTAAATAATATTAACACTTATGTCTCAAAATAAATTTATTATGAAAATATATTTTACAACTAATCTAATGATATTTATCTTGTGTCACAAGTGTTAGTACTTTTTCATATAATTTTAGTTAAAGTTTGAACTGTTTGATTTCTCGAAATTTAAGAATTGCATTCTTTTAAGTACTAGGGTAGAAGGGTCAGAGAGGAATGAAAGGCGTAAGGGCCTGTTTGGAACGCGGAAAATATTTTCTATTTCTGTGTTTTTTCTGTGAAATTGAATTGATTTTAGTAAAATTCCTATATGATTCTCATAAAATTCTTACGTTCCAAACAGGCTCAATCCTACAATATGCTGGGGGTGCAGCAGCTGAGCAGCCTGGACAATAAGGAATACCCTTCCCCAATAATGCGCAGCATGTGCAGCTAATCTCCGGCTGTGTGCCACCAGCTCTGGCGGCTGGGCTTTCGAGTTGTCACGGGGCCTGCGGTCGACCGCTGGCGCGGGGCCGGGGCCGGGCGCATGCGCATTGCGGAGACGATTTGGCGATGGCGGCAGAGGTTGCCGGCCAGGTTGGCTGGTTGCCTACAAGTATGGCGTTCGAACCATTTAGTTGTGATGACGATGGGAGATTATATATCGGTGGTCCTGTTCGTTTCTCTTATAATCCATATTTTTTATCTTATTTTTTTAATTAAAATTATATTTTTTTCTCACAATAAATCAGTCGGAACAGTATTCCGAGCGAAGTGAATGGGGCCGTAGTATTTCTTTGAGACGACAGTGATCGCTTTCAGGATGTGGGGTGGCGCTGAACTGCTGATTCCTTCGTCTTCATTAGTTGGGGTGGTAGGTTCAGAGTCCAGACTGTGTCCACTGGTGCATGCAGCTCGCATCAGTCGTCTGACGTGGGAACAACTCCTTCCGTGCTCAACTGGGCACACGCTCCGTTGGCATGGCATACATACAAATAACTAACGCAGAGTACAACGAAACGCATAATGATAAGGGAGACGAGTGCCGGAAGTTTATTCGGAACAAAAATGACCATTCACTTGCTTTTTCGATGAAATTGGATTGATATACACAGTGCGTTAATTCATTCGTAGAACTCCTTTACAACAACTAGGAGATCAGATGGCTAAAAATCACTTGAACGGTGGCTCAGTTTATGAATCGCGGAATCGATGGGACAAATCATCCAGTTTCAGTTGCAATGGTACGTAAAGCATGTTGCGATCGTAAATAAAGCATTATGGCTTATTTAATGGACGATTTGTGTATCGAATCTTTCAATATTATGTTTGTTTGGGAGAGCTCCTCAAGAGCTATCCCAGAGGAGCCGGAACTATTTTAGAGGAGCCGCAGTTTGCCCTGGCTGTTAGCGATACAGTTAGGACTGAGTCTTCTTCCCCTCATGTAACGGCTGTAGACTAGCTCACGATCCCACCATGCCTTGTTTATAGGATCGGCATGTCTTGTTTATAGGATCGGCTGGTAGTGGATCAGTGTTGTATTTAACCCCAACTCTGAGTAATGGAATGGTGCGGTGATTCTCTCCCAATTCTCATCTCTTACATGGTATCGATCGATCGTTCGATCAATTCTCCACCTTCCGCTGCTCACGGCCATGGCGAGTCCCCACGGTTCCTTCTCGTCCAACCCCTTCGCTGATGGCTCCGAGCCTGCTCCTCCTCCCTCCTCCACTCTTGTGCTTCTCAATATCCGCAACCACGTTCCCGTCACTCTTTCCGCCGAGGACGGGAACTTCCGGCAGTGGCGCTCGTTCTTTGAACTCACCATCAAGAAATTTGGTCTTCTCAACCACATCGACGGCACGGTCGACGCCGCCGCGATGTTGGATGATGCGGAGTGGCTTCAGATCGACTCCTCCATCGTGTCTTGGCTCTATTCCACCGTCTCCAAAGAAATTTGGAACAGCGTCAACAAAGTTCGGCGCCACCGCCTACTCTGCGTGGAAGGCGATCACGGGGCAGTTCCTCGACAATGACACGCAACGCTACTGTTTTTGCCCAGCCAGGAGTTCCATAGTCATTTCCAAGGCGACATGACTATCGGGTAGTCTGCGGCCACCTCAAGCGCCTCGCCGACACCCTCTCTACGATCGCGGGCGCTCATCGATCTCCGATCCGCGCTCATCAACAACGCGCGGCGGCTGAACAACAAATTCGGTCAGCGATCGCCGTGCTCTCCAACATGTCCCCGCCGCCGACGTTCCTCTACACCAAA